GTGGGAGTTCACAGTGTGCCAAAGAAAGAACACACAAACACATTCATGAAAACACACCCAATCGTGCCACACCTCTCGCCCAGCATCATAGTCAGTGCGACCAATCCCTTTTCACCTCACAGTGGGCATCACAAAAACACAACCAATCTCTTGTCACCTCTGTGCCTCACGGGCAGTCTTCTCCCCCACACCTTCAAAGCAAACCGACATCAAGGCCTCACTCTTTTCCACAAACACATCATATTTATTTGACCATATCACACTGGTTTAATTGCTTTGAAAATCACTGTGTAATGGTGTATGTTTTGAATACGTGTGTTGCAGTTATGGACACTTTCTGAGTACAAATCAGACCTAACAAAAGAGACCTACAGCCAAGATTGATTTCTACTTATATTACCATATTTACAATACAATCCTCCCTAAAATGGTATTTACTTACTAAGCCTTACCTGACAGAGCTGCATTAGAAGGACAAACACTCACAACGCAAACGCCTAAAGATAAAAAAAGAAAAAGAAAAGAAATAAATCAATCTCACCTAAAACTTGTAATGCTTCCTAAAACCAGTAGAGGCCACTGTTGGTCAAATATTCAATTTATTCTATCTATCTATCTATCTATCTATCTATCTATCTATCTATCTATCTATCTATCTATCTATCTATCTATCTATCTATCTATCTATCTATCTATCTATCTATCTATCTATCTATCTATCTATCTATCTATCTATCTATCTATCTATCTATCTATCTATCTATCTATCTATCTATCTATCTATCTATCTATCTATCTATCTATCTATCTATCTATCTATCTATCTATCTATCTATCTATCTATCTATCTATCTATCTATCTATCTATCTATCTATCTATCTATCTATCTATCTATCTATCTATCTATCTATCTGTCTGACCGTCCGTCAGTCTATCTTTTTTTTAACCTGACTGACATGAAAAAAAAAGTACTACAAAAATATGATTTTTTTTTTAAACTCACAAAAAATGCTATTTTAATTTTACACAAATAAGAGTCCATTGATTCAAAGTCGCTTTGGATAAAAATGTCTGCTAAATGCATTACAGTTTTTCTCAATTGCTTTGGCTCAGTTCTCAAATGTTTTTTTTATTTCCCAAAACATTAAGTTCATATCTCTGAACAATTCGCTTCTTGTTCACATCAGATTGGAATTTCTTATTGATTTGAGAAAATTGCAAATGCTTTGGCACATGTGTGCAAAGAGTACATACAACTGTCTGCAGTTTGGACAACAAATAATTGTATATGGCTTGTTGATCAAAACTGATGATTTGATTCTCACTTACACTATCAAACACTTCAGAACTTCTCAGACATTTTTTATTGTGTAAGCCATCACATTCAAAACGATCTATTCAATTATCATAATTAGTATACATGAATGTATATTCTAAAATATATCTGACATTGACATTGTTTGTAATGTTTGCTAAATTGGCACATGACTTCTAATTGCATTCGCAATCTAATTATAAATTACCTCTAATATGAATCAACCATTTAACCATTTAACCAATCAACTTTGGGAATATATATATATATATATATATATATAGAGAGAGAGAGAGAGAGAGAGTATATATTTAGAGTATATATATATATATATATATATATAGAGTATTTAGAGTATATAGAGTATATATAGAATGGAGGACATTCACAACCCTGAACTGCAGCAACATGCTCATGGAAGAGCAATTGGAAGGCGTGTAAGAATACGTGGTGGTGGTGGTAGAGAAAGAAATAATCGAGGAAGAGGTGGAAATAGAAGAGTCAGAGTCTCTGATGAAATCAGAGCCACACTTGTGGATCATGTCATAAATCTGACCATTGCAGGGGATGGGTGCGTCATTCAAGGAGATTTTTTCCACGTTGTGTGGCAATGGTAACATCAGATGTGATGTTGATGAAAATCTTTGGCCTGACCAACGTGAGCGACAAGATGTCCACCAAGAATAATTTGTTTCTTTTTCTTTTTTTTTCCATGAATGTTATTTGTTGTTTGTGTATTTGTGGTAATACACAAATATGAGATGTAATGTGAAATCTTGTTATTCTTGTCAGTTACTTTACATGTACAGTAAATACACTTGTATTGTGTATACACATGAAGTACAAAAATAAACACTGTAAAAATACAAATGTTCATAGAATTTTTTTTCTACATACTATTGACTTTTCTCAACAAATATGAGATTTGTTTACAGACAGTAAACCCTTAATTTTCATGGTTGACTTATGGTGAAAAAATAACTAAACATTTTGACCAGTGTGGCTCACACAATGACAAAAATACTTTAGATTTTGGTGGCCTTGGCCAAATTATTGACAAAATAACTAGGTTTTGAAGCATGAATTAAATGTTTTGGGTGAGTAACTACATTTTGCAGACATGCTATAAAGTTTTGAAGTTCCTGCAAACAGTTGTGACATTTGCACTCACAGTTTAGAGAATGTTAAGACTGTTTCGAAAAATGTGCCAAAGCAATTGAGAAAAACTGTAAATGTAAAAATGAATGGTTAAGGATCCATAAACTTTTATCCAAAACGACTTTCAAAAGAGCTAACAATATTCATAACATAGAAATGCCAGGTTTTTAGACAACCAGATTAGGAAGCAAGCTAGAAAAGTGTGTGTATGTGCGTATTTGTTTTATACGATATTGATATGGTGATATTATGAACATGTTTTTGCATGTTTGAATGCGTGTGAAAGTTCTCTGCCTTGAAGAACTGACCTTTGACCTTCTGTGAGAGAGTCTATTTATTCCACTGAAATCCAGTGTTTTCTTACACACTGAAGCCAGAAGAAAAGGAATCTGCAAACACTACCTCTGTTTGATGTAACACCTGTATGTGGAAAACACATGTAACTGAATCACCTCAGAATTGACCCATCGCTTATAAAACCTTTCCGACAAACCTTGGCAAATGCTGTCTGACAACAATGGATCTTGTCAAATGTGCGTTATTTTATTTATTTTTCAATGTTGTTTTGATCTTCTTTTGTGTTCAGCAGAAATACGAATGTCATACAAGTTTAGAACGCCATGAGCGCGAGAAAATTATTACAATGAGCCAAGTTGAGCCAATATTTGTACATGCAGCTTGAACTAATGTTTCCCGGAACCTCATGACTCTCTGACAAATAACAATGAGTCATATTATCTGAAGCAATGCCAACGTAGGCCTGTGTGGGACTGATGATGATGATGATCATCATCATCATGGCACACTTTACCCTATGCCAGCAGTGAATGTCATCTCTTCATGTCTTGTCCTTTGCTCTATGGTCATGCTGGATGTCACACATTAGCCTCAGCCTCAAACGTCACACAGTCCACCCACAGTCTGATCCATATTGCAGACAAATCTGGAAAACACATTTTTGATGTAATGAGTTTCGATCTGATTTCCTTTTTATCACTAAGTGTGGAAACAAAGTTGAGTTACAAAGTTGGAATAATACAGCAGGTGCTTTTGAAGACGAAATAATCGCTTTTGAAGATTAAAGTTTGCAAGGTTAGTGACATCAAATCTCTAAATGATAATCAAAGTTTTATTTGAGACTGCCACAACATTATTTATAGTTTTTCCCGCAGTGCTACGGTATAAACAGCATGTACGGTGGTCTCTTGCTGTCCAAGAACCTAAGTGGGAGGTTCTTGACCAGACCTTATAACGTCAGGTCAAAGATCAGGCTACACAAGAGACAATACTTTTGAAAAGTTTGGGGTCTGTAAGATGTTTTTTAAAGAAGTCTCTTATGCTCACCAAGTCGGGTCAGGATCAGAGTCTCCTTGTCTTTAGCGTCATATGAAATAATTATACTGATTTGGGGCTCAAGAAACATTTCTTATTATCAATGATTAATACAGTTGTGCTGCTTAATAATTTTTTTATAAAAACATTTTCGGAAATCTTTGATAGAAAATTCAGAAGAACAGGATTTATTTGAAACTGGACTGGCTTGGCATGAATAAAAAAATACAGTGGATTTGCAGCTGAGCGGATTTGACATAATGATACACTTCATGGGATTGCGAAAGATAAGCATAGCCTACTACTTCATACAATTGTTAATATTACTGTAATGGAAAAGTTTCACATTCATAAAATGAAATGGTCTGACTCCAAACCGAACTTCTTTATTCTGTTTTGTGTAATTTGCAAGTAAAAAGAATATCAGAGCTTATAGCGTTGTAAGCAGGTATGATGTTGTGTGGCACCCTTTTTCTGTTGTTTGTTATAAAAATGTTCTTGTCCTCTTGCATTGTTTTATTTGTTTTACTTTATTTACTATGTATTTTTTATTTTATTTTGAATGTTTATGTCTCATATTGTTCAGGTTCATGTCATTATTTAAAAACCATAGCTGTTTTCACGGATGTGTGAACGGGGATTATTCTCAAGACAGAATAAAGAAGAAGTTTAAACCATCTCATTTTATGAATGTGAAACTTTTCCATTATTAATTATTAACAATTATTAAGGTAGCTTTAGCTAACTTTTGCGTTTTTAGTTCAGACAACGTTGTCTGAACGAAAAACGCAAAGGTTGACGTCGTGTAGCCTACCGAATGTTTTTATACGATATTATGTTTTAAAACCCACATAGTGTTTAGTGTTTATCTATCAGAAAGTTCAGAAAATATTAGGCCAATGCTATTAGGACAGATATTTTAATATTTTGGCTCTAAATTGAATCTCCCTCAAAGATCTTTTCAAATTCTTCCTGATATGTTGTTCAGTCAATTTCATATTTTATGGTAGCCCAGTGGTCAATAAAACCTCCAACTTCCTGGAAGTTCAACACGTTGTTGTTAAGGAATAAAAGACAGTACGGCAGTCAGGTTTATTCGACGCAAAAGGCAAATAACTGTTATAAAAGTTTTTGTTGGTATTTACCGTTGAGAACACAAGGACCCTCACCTTCATCACGTGACGACAGTGAAGGTGCGTGGAGGTGGGCGTGTCCTCGCGACTCTGACTGACGCTTACCTGGGTCACTGTGATCTATCCGAGTGGTCGACAGTGCGCTTCGACGGAAGTGGACACGAAGAATAAGGTGCACGTCTCCATGGCTTCACCTCTGAAATCGGGATTCCACAGACTAGAGATCCAGAAAACTACATGGGATGTCCCTGACCGATACATCTCACTCAAGCCCGTTGGCTCTGGAGCCTATGGGACTGTATGGTAAGAAAGGGGGCTTATGCTACTGTAGGTCAGATTTATATGTGAAATGGGAGCATATATATGTTAAGAGGGGTTCACACTTAACATTTAAGCGGAATTTATGTATGACGTTGGGCAAATAAAAGATATTAAAATATTTATGCAATCGCCTATTAAATTTTTTTTCTACATAAAGGGGATTTAAATAGCTTATGACAGATTCTGGAACTGATTTGGAATATGAACAAAGCCCTATGTCTATTCTAATAGGAAACTATTCTAAAAGTTACATTTACAGTAGCCTAGCCTAAATAATTCTATGTTTTGAGTTTGCATAATGCATAGCCTACTGTCGAGCACCACAAATACTCTTATGTTCATTACGCAGATTCACTAATAAAAAATGATTTGCTGTATGAATCTATGACATAGACTTGAGAGTGAGTGAGCCTTAGGTAAAATAAACAGCTGTGGACTCGCATACCTGGGGGACAGGTTTCAGCACGTTTGCTGATAACACAGAAATTCCCCCAAAATACTGACAGTCTCAATCAATATAGCTCTCTTCAGTTATGAGCCTGTGTCTTTTTATTAATTTATTGGGACAATACACATTAATTTTGTGTCAGATGTCCTTTGGCCAGATGTTAAATCAACCGTAAAACATTCAAATTTACAGACAAACATTTTTTTATTATTATTATGTAAAGAATATGCTTTAAATACCACATTTGTTTTGGTATTGGAATCAGACCTTGTGATAAAATAACAAAAAGTCTGAACAATTAGAATAAAAGGTATTTAAAATATATATATAACATCACTGTTTTTAAAAAGCCTAAGCAAATATCAGAACAATTATTGGCACAAGAACAAGTCATGGCCTTTAGCTGTATATTGTAACTGTATACAGTACAGCCTATATAGTATTAGTTAATATAAGACATTTTTTAAGTCAGTTTAATGTCATTTAAATTGAAATGACTTAAACATTCAAGTTTACATTTAATATTATTATTATTATTATTTAAATATACGCATGAACTAAAAATGTAACAATCAAATGCACATCGTTTATTATTAAACAGTAAAATCATACTTCATCATTTTTTATAAAATGTGTAATAGAAAGTGAACAAGGAAAAGTGTCATCTTTAGCTCTAAGTTCTATAAAAAATAAATACAGTGAATAAAGTGAAAGCTTGTCTATAAAAATGAATTTCATGTCAAATGAATGTGTGATGTAATGGTTTCTAATGATAACTTCTGTTCAGTTCTGCGAACGACCAGAAAACAAAGGAAAGGGTCGCCATTAAAAAACTTTACAGACCATTCCAGTCTCTGATCCATGCTAAACGTGCCTACAGAGAACTCCGGCTGCTCCGTCACATCCAACACGACAATGTAAGTCTCAAATTCCCAAGAGGAGGACAATAAATCTAGGACTGGATTAAATATCATATGTTCCTGTGTTATTTACATTGTTTTCTTCCTCATAATTGATGAACTTTCATCCATCACTTAGAGCGGAGCTTTAAAATTTGTTTTGTATGTATGTAGTTTGTAATAACATCATAATCCTTTTGCCAATTGAAAGAGAATGAAAAGATTTCATGATACTACTGTTGTGAAAGCCCCCCTTTATCTTCTCAAACCAGTTTCTTTGCTTAGTAAACAGTATGCCTGACCTCACACTGATGCAGGTTTGTAGCAAGAGGTTTAAGAATAATTCATTGCAATATGTTATCCTCTTTTCAAATTCCAGTTAAGTCACTGGAATTACTATTTCATTGTTATTTGTTTTAAACATTTTTTAAAGGGCAAAGTTAATGATTTTTTTTAAACAACAGTAAATAAACATTTATCTGCAAGCAGCAATTATGGGATCAAGCACAAAAGTACATTCAGGTCTGCATACATTTGTGTTTTTGAATTGAGTCAATTAAAGGAGTAGCTCACTTTAAAAAAAAAAAAAAAAACTTTTGCTGATAATTTACTCACCCCCATGTCATCCAAGATGTCCATGTCATTCTTTCTTTAGTCGAAAAGAAATTAAGGTTTTTGATGAAAACATTCCAGGATTTTTCTCCATATAATGGACTTCAATGGGAACCAAATGGTTCAAGGTCCAAAAGACAGTTTCAGTGCAAACTGCAAACTGTTCAAAGGGCTTTAAACGATTCCAGACGATGAATAAGGGTCTTATCAAGAGAAACGATCTCTCATTTAAAAAATAAATACAAAAGTTTAAGTTTTATAAGCACAAATGCTCGCCTTGCTCGACTCTCCTGTTCGAACTTGTTTATCAAAATGAACAAATCTTTTCGAGTCATTTGGTTCATTCAACGAATGAAATGAAAGAGTTGACTGGAAAAAAAGATTTGTTCCTTTTGATGAACGAGTTCGAACAGGAGAGTTTAGTAGCAGCGAACAGCAGCGGTTTAGTTCATTTTTCTAAATATCTTCCTTTGTGTTCAACAGTTGGATGAAATTGACTGTATTGACAGAATTGCATGTTTTTGGATAACTATGTTCCCTTTAAATCCAATTCTGTTAGTGAAGCTTGGTCTGAAACTGATCTATTGGACACACTTTAAAGGAGTATAAACAGAACACTAATCTAGTCAAATTGTTGATCATGGTAATGGTGAAAAAAAATGAGATGGGAGGAGAACACTATTATTTAAAATAGAAATTTTACATTTGCTTGCAAAAGCAATGAAATAATGATATGGATATTGTTATTTATCCCACCTCACACTATTTCCATGACCAGTGTTGCACTTTGTTATCGAATGCAAAGCGAGTTTCTCAAGGGAAGGTAAACGTTTAGTGGGGACACGTCAAAGTTTTGCATGCGGAAAGTTTTGCTAGTGAATATAGGTAATATGGTAATATATTCCACAATTAAAGTACATTTTTGCAATTTGTCGCCTGATCATTATTCGAAGTTCTATGGTCTGTAATATCCTTCTATTATGCGAGAAACAACAAGAAAACTAACAAATACTGTATGTGCCATTCTTCCATTCTTGGGATAAATTATATTGTCCTTCGAATCATAAAGAATGATGTTTAACAATCATGCACAGACTATTTCTGAATGTATTCTTCTTCCTGTAGGTGATCTGCCTCCTTAATGTCTTCACCCCTCATGCCTCGCTGGAGAAATTTGATACTTTGTGAGTGTGAGGATGAACAGAATGCATTCCTGTGCAGAAATCTTTACACTTGTCATGACAGGCTGAGGGATGCAGTGCGTATGTGTGGATGTATTTGTGTGTGTGAGAGAGGAGGATGTGCTCCATACAGAGATGTTTAATGGCCATTTAAAGTTGATTTGTGTGAAAAAAATTACATTTTAAGATACTTTTTAAAATCCCAGCCTCACTAAATTTCAAACTTAAGTGATAGTGAAAATGCTTACATTTTCTAATGTTTCCCCCCCCCAGTTATATGGTGATGCCATTTGTAGCTCAGGATCTTAGCCACATAATGAAGAAGAAACAATTAACCAGCAAAGTCATTATATACCTGTTCTATCAGATACTGCGAGGACTCAAGGTCTGCCTTATTTCTATTCATTCTTCTGTATTTCTGTTCTTGATGCCTTTGATAGATGTCACACACTAACTTCCTTATATCACTTATTGATGGCATTGAAATATGAATATTGAATCATACTGCAGCTAATAATATGTGTTTCCTCAGTATATCCATTCTGCTGGGATTATTCATCGGGTACGTACTACGTAGAGTAAATATTGCCTGTTTATTCATAGAGTCATAAATATACACTACCGTTCAATAGTTTAGGGTTGGTAAAATTGTTTTTACGTTTTTGAAAATAAAAAATTGTTTTGCTCACCAAATTTGCATGTATTTGATACTGTAAAAACAGCAATATTGTGAAATATCAGTACAAATCATTTCTTTTAATGTTTGTAAAATTGTAAATAACATATTAGGTTCATTTATATCCATCACACTTAAATAATCAGAATATGACCAAATTCCGATTAACTTTGGAATATTTTTGTGCATGTACTGTATATGCAGTTCCTGATAAAACATGATGAAATGACACTAGTATTTTGTTTCAGGATCTTAAGCCTAGTAACCTCGCAGTGGATGAAAACTGTGAATTAAAGGTAAACATAATGATCATAGAATAAATGATCAGCAAAATAATAGTAAATATGTTATTACACAAAATTATCATTGCTTTTTCCCCCTGTAAACTTTCCTCATTCTTGACCATTTTGTTTTTATTTATTTAAAGGGGCCATATTATCCCCTTTTTCAAAGTATTGGTTTTGTTTTTGTACTCTACTAGAATAGGTTGTCATGCTTGAATGTTTAAAACATTATGTTTCACGTATTTGACATTGTTGCAGCACCTCTTTTCCCAGTCTGTCAGTAATGCCAGAGATGGTATTGTTATTGGAAGATACAAGGCTCTACCATTGGAAAAAGCGTAACGGCTAACTTGGATCAGGTGTTTCTTGATAACCAATCACAGCACAGCCTTCATGTCACTGAATTTGGTTTCAAATTGTGGGACAGTCAATCACTGATTGCGGATATGGCAAGCCGTTTTAGCTTTTATTCGTTTCCAGGATGTGAATTCTTGATATCAACAATTTAATTGCTGATATCTGTAATTGTATTTTCACTAGTGAAATTTCCAACACAGTCTCATGAAAGTTTTGAAAATTCAAAATTCAAAACTCAATGAAAAATTTTTTTTTTTTGCGTAAATATGCACTGAAAACCCCTTGGGTAGATTTAGGGGGGAGGTGAGTGGGAGTGAGTGTATCATATGCACGCAAAAAAAAAAAAAAAAAAAAACGCGTACCATATACACGCAAAAACTATTTTTGCCGTATAAATGGCATGAGAAATGACATTTGTGCTATACATACTGTACGAACTTTCATGAGATCGGGCTCAAAATTTCACCATAGGCTGCCATTCAAAGTAAATTGTTGATATCAAGAATTGATTTTTTACTAGTAGAAATATCATTTTTGATATCAATAATTACATTGTTACTAGTAAAAATACGAATTCCTGATATCAGTTGAAATGTCTATTCTTGATATCAACAATTCAATTGGTACTAGTAAAAATTATAATTTTTGATAGTGATATCAATATTATTTCAGATATCTAAAATGTCTTTCTTACTAGTAACAATCACATTCATGATATCAGAAATTTACATTGTCACTAGTAAAAATTGAATTATTGATATCAAAAATGATCATTGTTACTAGTAGCAATTAAATTGTGGATATCAAGAATAGACATTTCAACTAGTAACAATTGAATTCTTGATATCAAAAATAAAGGTTTTTACTAGTAATAATTGTATGTCTTATATGTGAAATTGGAATTTCAACTAGTAAGAAATCAAATCTTGATATCAACGATTGGTTTTGAATGACAGCCTATGTTGACATTTCACTAGTGAAAATACATTTGTTGATATCAAGAATTCAATTTTTGATATCAAAAAATGTAATTGTTGATATCAAGAATTCATATCCTGGAAATTAATAAAAGTTAAAACGGCTTGCCATAGATGCCATATAAATGAATGAGAAGTGAATCAATCCTGACGTGCAATTTTCCGTGACTTCTCTTATAAAACAGCATTATTTTTTTCAGTCTAATTAAAAAATCAATGCAAAATGAATTTTTAAGAGCTATCATGCTGAGGAATGGTGGACAAGCTGTCGATTCATTAAATTATAAGCTATTTCCTCACCAAGTTTTTTTTTTAGCATGGATGGTGAATCCTCTCCTCCATTGACATCCATTCAAAAAACGGCCTCTTGTCTCCTTCCCTGCGTATCCCTTTAAGCAATAAGAAAGGTTTGGTCCGATGGTGGAAAAGGGGCTTATGTGGCCTGTTTCTTACACTGTTTGTTAGATTCTGGACTTTGGACTGGCAAGACACGCAGAAACTGAGATGACGGGCTATGTTGTGACACGCTGGTACAGAGCCCCCGAAGTCATTTACAACTGGATGCATTATACTCAAACAGGTGACCTTTGACCCTGTCATTATTGACCCGCCCAACACATTGTGTAAAAGGCGATTCAAAGAGTTTTAGTCTTTAATCGCTATTTTACTGTTCTTTGTTCAGTTGATGTTTGGTCTGCTGGCTGCATCCTGGCCGAGATGATAACAGGAGAGGTGCTTTTCCCAGGCAGTGACAGTATCCTTTCTCTTTCCTCGCTTTTTAAATATGTCTGTCAAGCAAAAGAGTGCCTATTCCTTAACTGTATTGCTTAGGTATTGACCAGCTCAACAAGATCCTCACCCTGACAGGCACACCAAACTCAACGCTTGTTATGAAAATGCAAAGCAAAGATGTAAGCATATACCGTCAGACATCTGCTACTATATATTTTAGGAATTTTTTTCGAGTCTGTTTGTCGTTATTGTATTAATGTGTTGGCAGGCTCAGTCATATGTCCGCTCACTTCCAGTCCAAAAGAAAAAGCCTTTCAAAGAGGTCTTTTCTGTTATGGATCCTTCTGGTATGTTCTCAACTCCCATATTGATTTTACTTTTATAAACATTTTAAACCTAAAACCAATAGCACCTAGTAAGCTTTATGTGTGTGATATATGGATATTGCATTGTTTTGAATGGTAAAAGTCGCCCTCTAGTGGTAGACTAGCACATTAGCTACTATATTGCTATGATAGCTGTTATTATTTTGGATTCTTAAGCCAGTATAAAAGCTTGTCCCATCTTTTGCATCTGTAACTGTAATTCAGCTTTGATTTAATGCCGTGTTTCATCTACAGCCATCGATCTGTTGGAAGGCATGCTGGTTTTGGACCCGGATGTCAGACTTACTGCAAAAAACGGCCTTTCACATCCATATCTGTCTGAGTTTCATGACCCTGAAAACGAGCCTGTGTCTCCACCATACGATGATTCTTTTGAGAGTCTGGATCTGGCCGTCAGCGAATGGAAAAGTGAGAGTATATACATACACATACACATTTATATAAAACTCTTGTCTGAAGTACTCTGGCACTCTGTTGAACCTGTTTTAAATCCATTTTTTAAATTCTTATGTTGGTCTTGAGGTATTTATTTATATTTAAAGCTACTCTGGCTTTTTTATTTCTCACAGGTCTCATCCACATGGAGATCATGACATTTGACCCAGACAACCCCAGAGTGACTGCAACATAATACCTCATCTTTACATCACCAGAACAGCACTCTAAAGAATTACAGACACTGATGAACTATTGTTTGCTTCTTTTATCAAACACCATTAGATATCTTTAACACCTGTTGTTATCAAGCACAGTTTATTAGATATCTAGCTATAAATCCTTTTTTTTTTTGTTATCAAACACTCAACTGGCTATCTTCAAACATATATATTACTGTAACTACATCAAGTGTTTAAACCAACTTTTAAAGAATGTACTCCAGTATTTTAAGAATGAAATGTAAAAAATAAATGATTTTTTTTTTGTGGATGTCTTTGTGCTATCATTATATTATATTGGCTTTTATACTGAGGCAACACTTTATTTTACAGTGTCAGTTATTTTACATGTAGCCTAGTTACTGTATACTAACTATAAATTATGCATAATTACATGCAATTAACCCTAATCCTAAGTGCATATTTTTAATTTTTATTACTCTGTACTTAAGTGTATTATTACACAGTAATACTGGCACCTTAAAATAAAGTATAAACTATATTGGCATTGAATATTAACTGTATATCATCATCCTAAAATTAAATAGTTATATAGTTTCTTCTATAGTTCCATAATTCTATACTTTCTAAGACCCAATTTATATAAATATATGGTATATACATGTGGTATATATACCTGTAAAACACACACACACGCACACACACACACACACACATATATATATATGAAGAGTTCAGATGCAAAAGCCTCTAAATGCCATTTGAAATTTTCTTCTTTAATGATGATTTTTATCAAACTTGTATATTTAAGTTCGGTAATTTCACTTAAATAACAATTAATAGGTAATTATCATTGCCATTTAAGTGAAATTACTGAACTATATATATAAGGGCTAAAAAGGGTGGGGTTGTTGAGTGTAAAATATAGAGTAGGAAAATATTTAGTTTATTTTAAATGACATTTTTAGCTGTTTCCTT